ATCGACCCTATTCCTCAAACTTCCAAATTTTCAGTTTTTAGCTCTATCCCTTTACATGATACGAAATGGTACCAAATATAGTACATTTTAGTACTTTTCGTACACTTATAGTGGGAATTTTCGAAATCCCTCCATCAGTCACCTTTATTGCAAATTTAAAAGTTCCAGCTCTACTGATTTTTCAAATACCTTTTAGTATTTTTCGTACCATTCAAGTACTAATTTCCAAAAATCCAGCCAAGAGTGACCTTCACACAAAATTTCAGGATTCTAACTTACATCGTTTTAGTCAGTCTGACTTAGTAACTTAAGGATTCATCAACGCCCAGACGAAGCGCCTAAAGCTAGAATCTTAAAATTTCTGGTAGATATATTTATTTCCAAGATGGATTCTTAATGTAGGATGGAATTTTGTGGTTCTTAGATAGGGTATCACTTCTTCTCGATGCACGTCTCCTAGGTTTATTTTAGAAATTAAACGCTATTCCTCAGCATGTTATTATGTCAGCGATATATGCAGTACCTCAGAAAATGAAAAAATGAAAATTTAAAATCTGCTTCCAAAATTCGAAATTTTAAAACATTATTGTGTACAACAACAAGGCCTTTTCTTTAATACTCATAATAATTCATTTCAATGTTTGACGATTTTCACATATCTATACATATCTGTAGTTCCTCTGTCCCAAACATACCTATCATTCTTTTTCGAACGATGCTACGGAGCTATTAACTTAAAAAGGTAGTACTAAAAATTCATGCAAGTAATGGAAAGAATAGACGAAGCTTTGTTATGTACTTTGCCAGTGAGGCATAACAAGAGATGGAAAAAAAGGGAGAGAGAGAGAGAGAAAAAAAAAATTTGAAAAGCATTTTTCCACTTGAATGTCGTTTACTCGATTTGCTATGAGTTCTTGTGTGTGTTTGAATGTATGATGTCTTTGAATGTGTTTCTATGTTCATGAGGAATTTCTGATTACGTGAAGACATCTTAAGGTTTTTTTTTGTTCGTTGTTCCTATTAATTCAAGTATGGAGATTTTCGTTGTTGTCGTCCTATTTTGGTTGCTTGTTGGTCCTGCATGCATGACTGTTCAAGGGAAAATTTCAATATTTTTTTGTCGCATGCTTAGTGGTATGTAAAATTTAGCTACATCTATTTGTGTACCTTAAAATGTTGATGGTGATCCACTTTCCTGATATAAATTATAAATTTAATGATGCATGGCATTTTTCTCGAATACTATAATTTATTTTGAAAGAAGCCAATGTCTAGGGATTTGTGGAGAATAAAAAAAAATATTTGTAAAATTTACAAATTAGATAAACCAAATGAAATATTATGCCGAATTTGAAAAATAGATTTGTATGTGTTTAGACAAAATCCGCTGGGTTTTTAAACATCCCAAAAAAAACAAATTTATGACTAAATAAAATTTAGTTAAAACTAGTTAAATGGAATTAGTCGGTATTGCCGAAAGCTGCATACCCTCAGCTAATGTTCGATTATTTAACTATATTTTGACTTCTGTTATGAATATTTAAATTCTTGACCCTCTATGGAGTAGCTTCTAATGGACCAATATTTTCCATTTCGAATATAAATAAATATGATAAAAATATTACGACTTGCCAGGTAGGGCTTAATTGGTTACTTTCTGCACTTTATATGAGATATGAGGTACCAGAAATAGTCGTCCAAAGTATTCCATTTTTATACAGATAAAAATAATGGTATGGACAAAATTAAAAAAAAAATCTAACATTTACAGGGTGAGATATAAAAAACTGCAGCAAAGTCAAAAGCCAATGCAATCGTCACACGCTGCTCGAATGTTGCTCTGCGGTATTTTGGCCCATTCCCGGCGAAGATTTGCTTGAGGTGATCGACACTTTGGTATTTTTTAGTGCCAACATTGCTTTCCAAAATATTCCAGACACAATAGTTCAACGGATTGGTATCCGGAGCCAGGAACCTCATTTTTTAACCATTCTTGGGTGGCGCATGGTGATGAGTCCTGTTTGTTTGCGTGCCCAAGGTTTTAATACACGCTCCAGAATATTTTCGCGATAATATTCGGCATTTATTCTGATGCTACGGTCGACTAATACGAGCGGAGAGCGACAATCGGCTGTTATGACGACCCACACCATCACCATGACCGGCGCTTGAGTTATGGTGGCCAACCGAAGGTGCACATTTTCAGCTGACCTCTTTGACATGTCAACACGATAATTTTGTTTGTTTACTAACTGCTGGACAATGAATGTTTTCTCATCGGAGAGAGAGAAAACAAAATTCGGCACTTCACTACTTTCGGCCATGCGAAGCAACTATTTAGCTCTTTTGAGTCTATTTTTTCTGTTGCGGTGTAAGTTCTTGCATTTTTGGCTTTACTCCGAGCTAATTTTTCAATATTTGCCGAAAGGAATATTGCGATATGTTCAGCTCACGAGACATTTTTCGGCCACTGCGTCGCGGGTTTCGATCAAGTCGCTTCTTTACTTTTCGAACCATTTCTGCTGATGTTGCTGTTTTCTTCCATCCACTTCCTTGACGCCGGGCTACGCTACCAGTATCAGTGTAACGAGCGATAGTACGAGACACCAAATATTTATTCACATTTACATGCTGGAGTGCTCTAACGGTAGCCACTTGTGGTTTTCCAGCCAAATATAAATAAATCGCACTATCTCGCTTGAATTCCATCACGAATTACTTTTTTCTGGAAAATTCTCACCAAAATACTTCTGTACGCTTATAAACAATACAATAAGCTATCACTTGAATAATTTTAACAGCTGCAGGTATTGAAAATTGTAACCCTTTGTGGGTGAAGGTACCATATGGAGTGGACCTATATTTCCATTTTCACACCTGACAATGGGGTAATAAAAATATTGTGATGTGTGCAATTTGAAGAGAACCATATGCTTATTTTGGAATTTATGATGGTTTTGATTATTTAAAACGTAGACCCTTTGTGGGGTCGGTGCCAGAAGGAATGGCCCAATCTCTACCATCTTTATAACAGATCTTGTGTTGATAGAAATATTAAGATGACCGATATTGTCCATTTTCGCACCTGACGCAAATATTAGGATTTGCAAAGTTGAGAAAGTTTCTCTTTTTGTGCAGAAAATATTTTTTTTTTTTTCAAAATTTCGACATTTTGTTGGGGGAGGTACCAGAAGGAGTGAACCGATATATTCCAACTTAACACCAGATTTTGGGTTTATAAAAATATTGGGATGGTGAAATTTTCGGATTATTACATCAATTTTATAAGAGTTATAATTATTCAAAAGTTTAAGCCTTTAATGACGGAGTGGACCGATATTGTCCATTTTCTGAAGTTGAAGCAAAATGGAATTATCATTTCTTTATATATATGTATATATATATATATATATATATATATATATATATATATATATATATATACATATATATATATATATATATATATATATATTTTTTTTTTTTTTTTTTTTTTTTTTTTTTTTTTTGAAAATTTCGACCTTTTGTGGTGGAGGTCTCCATCCAATCGACCTTAACACCAGACTTTGGGTTTATAAAAATATTGAGATGTGTGAAATTTGAAGACAATCGGACTCTTACAACACTTTTTATAACCCTTATAATTTTTTAAATTGTTGACCCATTATGGGGGAGATTCTTGACGGAGTGGACCGATATTGTCCATTTTCGCTCCTGACCTAGCACTGACGCAAATATTAGGATTTTCAAAGTTGGAGCAAAATCAGATTACCCTCTCTCTTACTGTGCTGTAATATATATATATATATATATATATATATATATATATATATATATATATATATATATATATATATATATATATATATTTTTTTTTTTTTTTTTTTTTTTTTTTAAATTTCGAACTTTGTGGGTTATGTACCAGAAGGAGTGGACCGATATTGCCTATCTAATCCTGAAACGGATTTGGTCCACAAAGACCTAGGGTATAAAACCGTTATTTCGATGAAGCATGTTTTTGCCGTATCGAATGATATATACTCTGCCATATGCCTGAGGTTATGAAAATTTTGGTTTAAAATTTGATTTCTGGAAAAAATCGCATGAACCCATATTCTTGTTGAAATATCTGCCCTAACTACAACACCACCTATCAAATATTCCACCTACATCTAACAATAATTAAATCTATTGTTGTTATATTATATAAAAAAAAATATTACCTCAAGAGAAGCACAAACGCCTTTAGACAAAAAAGGATGCAGAAGAGCAAAAAATTTGATTTATGATTACCTTACTTGTTATAATTTATTTAAAAATTTGCACAACATCTACGAAAGTAGACAAAAACAATTTTTTGGCATCATCTCCAAGCCGAGTCATTCTCTCCGAAGATTATACCCAACTTGAAGGTAAACAAATTATTATTAGGATAATACAGGATACATGAAGGGGAGGAGATGTAGTCTATGTGGAAAGAAATACTTGACGCTGTAAAATAGCATCTGAAACACCTGCCACCTATCCTGTCATGTTTTTTTCTCTGCTCTTTTTGAGTAGGGACTAGCAATAATTTTGTTATCTTAACAACATTTTATGTTTAGCAAAAAAAAAAAAAAAAAAGTGTTGATGAATATTCGTATCTTCCATTGGGAAATTAAGCCAGACAAAACAGAACAACAAATTTTGTTACATATCATTGAAATATTTAATTATGACATGATTTATATTTTTGATAATTGAATTTAAATAAAAAATTAAATTCGCTCAATGTGAAAAATTAAAATTATATTTAAATTTAGATAAAAAACGTAAATATATAAAAAATAAGTAAAAAAAGACAAAAAAATTATAACTATGCATATTTGGAAATTTATATAGTCGAACCAAAATAACATATACTAAAACTTGTATTTTCATAATATTTGAACAATTAGTAAATAACAAAATGTTTCCAAAGACCTATAAACCTGACATTTAAATTTTCTTCTTTTTTGCAGATTTCTCCTGAAAACTGGCCTTGATTGTAAGTAAACTGTAAATTATGTCACATTTTTTTTTAACGAAAATGGTATTTGGCATTTTTGGAGGCGATTTCTAGGATATTACTTAAGGGAAATAACTGAAAATTGTCTTTTCCCGAAATTTGTATATTCTCCATCAATATAGCTGCCGCAATTATAGCTGCCGCGCAAGATAGACGGTAAAAGACGTTGTTAAGAAGTGATGTATTTCACAAATAACATGCCTGAGAAGCTTGGTTTAAAAATACCTAAAATTTGGATTTACTTTTACTTTGAAAATAAACCAGAATTTTTACAAATACAAATTTCTGAGCAGGATTGTTTCCACTCTTTACAAATGTAGCAAGGACCTCCTAAGGGGTCCTTCCTTTTAAGGGGATCCTCGTTTTTAGATTTTGATATCACAAAAAACATCCACTTTCGGTGGAAAAGTCATCAAAATCCAGTAGACCGGATATGCGGCTTATTTTTGATATTTTTACAAATATTCAGTTGTCGATTGTTTTTATACCCTTCACAATGGAGGGTATATTAAGTTTGTTATTCCGTTATTCGAAATAAGTATTTAAAACATTCTAGATTAGCATTAAATTGATAAAAGTTAGCTGAGAGGCATTTTAGGCCTGTGGAATTTTTGTTATTGCGCTGCATAGAATCACATTTGAATATAGTCCCGCATAACTGTATTAATGTGTTTCGGCTGTTTAAATCATATTTTTTTAAAAGAATTTGCTGTGAATTGGGAGTATGTGTTTCCAATGTGCAGTAAATGTGTAGCATAGAACCGTTTAATAAGGAAAACTGTATTAGGGAATTATTTCTCCCAGCAATGCATTATAATCTAATTATGTCCTTAAATATGTACAAATATACCTATACATAGGGTGAGATAAAAAGACTGCAACAAAGTCAAACACCATAAGTTTTAGATTTTTTTTTTTTAAATTTTATTGAATGAAAGCAAAAATGTGGGAAATAGCATCAAATTTTAGAATAAGTTTAGATTTGCTCGAATTGGTCATTCCTGGCATGAATTATGACCTTCAAAGCCACATGAAACCGTCACACACTGCTCGAATGTTGTTGAGGTATTTTGGAATTTGATTGAATTAAAGCAAAAAAATGTCGAAAATAGCATCAAATTTTAGAATAAGTTTAGATTTGTTCGAATTGATCGCCTTTGGCAAGAATTATGACCTTCAAACTGCCAATGAAACCGACACACGCTGCTCAAATGATGCTCTGCGGTATTTTGGTCCATTCCCGGCGAAAAACTTGCTTATAACAAACAATGCCTATGTAGGTCCACGTCGTATAGACTCCAATATAACGAATATTTCGATAGATTTTAGCAACATTTTTAACGGATTTTATTTTTTTGAAAATTTCTAAGTTTGTTCCAAATAGGTATTCAATGTTCGGCCCTACTTTTTAACTTGCTGGAATTTTAATGGCCCGGGCTCATTTTTCAATATTTGTCGAATGGAATATTGCGATATGTTCAGCTCACTGGCCATTTTTCGGCCACTGCGGCGCGGGCTTCGATCAAGTCGCTTCTTTACTTTTCGAACCATATCTACTGATGTTGCTGTTTTCTTCCGTCCATTCCTTGAAGTACGAGACACAAAATATTTATTCATATTTAAATGCTGGAATGCTCTTACGATAGCCACTTGCGGTCTTCCAGCCAAATATAAAGAAATCACACTATCACGCTTGAATTCCATCACGAATAACTTTTGTTCTGGAAAATTCTCACCAAAATCCCTTTGCACGCTTGTAACAGCTTTTACCAGTTCTTACCGCACTCACACACAGGTGGCATTAGAATAAATGTCGAATACTATCGCGAAAATATTCTGGAGGGTGTATTAGAGCCTTGGGCACGTAAACATTTTGGCCGCAGACCTTGGACATTCCAACAGGCCTCAGCACCATCGCACTCAGCACGCGCCGCCCAAGAATGGCTACAAAATGAGGTTCCTCGCTTCGTTTCCAGCGTACACCACCATAATCTCTGATTACCAATCCGTTGGACTATTGCGTCTGGAGTCTTTTGGAAAGCAAGGTTGGCACTAAAAAAAACCAAAGTGTCGATTGCCACAAGGAAGCGCTTCACTGGGAATGGGCCAAAATTCCGCAGAGCAAAAATCGGGCAGCGTGTTTCATTGGCCGTTTGAAGGCCATAATTCGTGCCAAAGGTTTCCAATTCGAGCAAATCCAAACTTATTCTAAAATTTGATGCTATTTCCGACATTTTTTGCTTACATTCAATAAAATTAGAAAAAAAAATGTAAAAATTTTGGCATTTCACTTTGTTACAGCTTTTTTATCTCACCCTGTATTGTTATGATGATTTTTTCAAAGGCGAGAAGTGAGTATAATTCTCATTCACTTGTTAATGCTCGACACTTCCAGAGCTTGATATTCACTAAAGTCGTCATATCAAAAATCTGACAAATGCCATGGGACCCTTCCCTCGCCGGGATGATATCATGGTGTTGGTAGCTATCAGCTAATATTGCGAAGTGTTCAGTTTTGTTTTGAAAAACATTGATCTCTGTAATAGAAAGAAATATGGAGTTAAGCCCCCAGACATAAATTAAATTTCATTTCTTAATAAAATCCAAAAGTATTTGTTTTGAATGAATTGCAATCATGCCAAACTAAAATGCTGAATGCATCCTTTGTTGCTGTTATTACTGCTGCTGCTGCCCGAACATATATTCTTTGCCACTTCTTGTAAAGCCTTAAGTGTGAGGTTTCATAATTTACAATTTCGGTATTTGAATAATTTATGCCTGTCGCGTATTTTCTGTTTTCCTTCAACTTCTCCTCTGTAGCTGTAGCTCAAGGGGAAATAGGAAAAACATAGGGACCATGAGCAACATCCACGTGTCTACGACATCCTTGATGTATGCAAGAGATGGGTAAAATCTGTGTGTATGTGTGTGCTTCTGTGGAGGTTACCATGCGTTCGTGTTGGCCATAGGAAGGAAATGCTACAGTTGGGAGTGTTGGTAGAGGAAAGGCATTCCAAAAATGCCGCTGTTGATGACAGTCTATAAAAGTGTGTATCAGCGTGTGTGTATGTGTCGAGTCTGTGTACATGATGTTGACATTGTGTGTGTGTGGTGTTGATAATTAATGTTCGTAGATGACAATCTCTTTTGGAGCTTCGGTACTTTTTTTTTTTGCTCTTCTCTCATAAAGTGTTGCTTACTTGTGCTGGCTGGCACAATGTACACGCGTGAGTTCTTTAGTATAAGCACTACTGGCACAAGTAGGCTCCCTCTTGTGGATTTTTATTACATTTCATGTAACTATAACAATCTCTCCAGATGTGTCGGTGATAGCAACCAAGGTTGTTTAGTAAAACTTTTTTAATTGTAGAAATTTATCCACTTTTTTAATAAAAAATTAAATGAAATACAAAATAACTCGTTTCACATGTTGACAGGCGGTGGCAAAACTTTTGCCTCTCACTTTCGTGGCAAGAATAGGTGGTTGGTGGATTAACATTCTTCTCCATGTGGTTTCATTTCGAAGGCATTAATTTTAAGTGTTGTAGGTTACATGATTACAGAAAGTGGAAATTTTCGGGGCTTTATCAATGAACATGTACAATGTTATTATATCCTCCACCATAGTATAGGCTATATTAAATTTGACATGCCCTTTGTAACACCTCGAAATATTCAATTTAGATTCCAGAACTCATAACTCAAGTCTGGAGTATTTCCCCATTGGCATAACTTCAATTAAAGAGAGCATGATTTCATCCCGGATAAGGGAAAGGTCACTTGGCCTTTTCAGTTTTTTGTTTTCACGACTTTGCTAAAATGCAAGCATTACAAGCGTCGAGCATTCACAAGTGAATGAGAATCGAACTCACTTCGTGCATTTTCTAAAGGACATCATAACAAAATATTGCAAAGGCTATCTTCAACTGCAAATCTTGTTCAGTTTAATAATTATACACCCAGCCATATGGCTACAGAGGGTATATACAATTTGATACGGTCAAAACGTGCCTAGTCGAAATAACGGTTTTAGACCCTAGGTCTCTTTGGACCAAATCAGTTTCAAAACATTTGGAGTCGATGTCCGATGTCCGTCCGTCTGTCTGTCTGGCTGGTGCGCACGATAACTCCCGAAGGGAGTATCCGATTTGGTCCAAACTGGGTACATCATAATATTTTTGTCAAATTTAGATCGAGTTCGGAGATGGGCAATATCGGTCCACTCCTTCTGGTACCTCCCCCACAAAAGGTCGAAATTTTCAAAAAAAAAAATATTTTTTTTTGCACAGAAAGAGAAAGGATAATCCGATTTTGCTCCAAATTTGCATATCCTAATATTTGTATTACTGCTAGGTCACGTGTGAAAATGGACAATATCGGTACACTCCATCAAGTACCTCCTCCACGAATGGTCAAAATTTTGAATAATTACAACTCTCATAAAATGTAATGAAAGAGTCCGATTGTCTTCAAATTTCACACTTCCCAATATTTATATTAACTCAAGGTCTGGTGTTATGATGGACAGAATCGGTCCACTCCTTTTTGTACCTCCCACACAAATGGTCGAAATTTGCAAAAAAAAAAAAAAAAAAATCCTGCACTAATTTTACGAATCCTAATATTTGCGTCAGTTCTAGTGCCTCTCCCACAAAGTGTCAATTTTGAATAATTATAACTCTTAAAAATATGATGTAAGAGTCCGATTGTCTTCAAATTTCAACCTATCCTACTATTTTATAAATCTAAGATCTGGTAGAAATACGGAATATATCGGTCCACTCCTTCTGGTATCTGCCCCACAACCGCTCAAAATTTTGAATATCCATGTAGTTCATAAAAAGCGAAATCAACATCCGATTCCATTCCAGACATGGTACAACTCAATATTTCCATCAACACAAGGCAATGTAGGTCCACGTTTTGGTATAGCCTCCATATAACGGCACCTCCGATATTTTCGGTATTTTGGTGATCTA